TGTGTGAATTACCGCAATCATCCAAATGCTAACCTTTCTCCAGACATGAAGGCTAATGACCAGACAGTCTCCACTGTCCCTAACGATGTCACCCCACACTGGTCATCGCCACTTGGCCTCTATCCATTTGTCTCGATTCCCTATGCACCCGCGAGCTAACCCAATTAAGGTTTCCTGCAAGAGCGTGCAAACGGGCGTATGCGCTCACAAACCTATGTAAGCATGCACGCATGCGTCGAGCGGGCGGGTGGCAGGCCAGATGGGGCCAGATTATTTGTGTAATTAAAGCCTCACGTGGGGGGGGGGGGCGGGGGGGCGGCTTTTAGAGAAAAATACCGGAGCCTTTTGTCTCGCCGAGCAACCCCCGTTTCCCTCCTTAACCGATGGCACTGTGCCCCTCGTGCCGGCTCTGGCTCAGCAGCTCGACGGCCAAATTGGAGAAAAAGTGGCGAGGGTTTTTCTTTTATTTTTCTTCTCCCCCCCCCTGCCCCGAGGTAGACGACCACTCAAAGCCTTCGCCATTCACCCGAGCACTGACAACCGCCCTAATTATCCGTACGGGGCCAGGGTGCAACCTTTCCCTGGCAGCACAGCGGAAGTCCCAGGCTGACCTTATCGGCTGCAATATTTAGGAAACGCTCGACTGATATCACAGCTATGAGCAAGCGCTAATTGCGCGCTCAGACCAGGAGTCGGATTTAAAGGCGCTCATGTTTTCCGGGAGTCGCCCCAACAGCAGAGGCCATGGATTTTATTGCCACACAAAGCAAATGTGCTCTGACCCGCTAGACAAACCCTGCCCATAGAGAGCCCCCGAATGCCTCTTATGTTGCCGTGGCAGACGGGAGGGCATTTCTGTGGCGACTACCCACGGGGCCGTGCGTGGAACAGTGGAGTAATTGCGTGGATGTTTGTCGAGTCTCGGGTCGAGATGAAACTTTGGCGCAGGGATTTGGGAGTTTTACCCAGCATCTCTAGCAGTAGAGATGCCATGCATCTGTCATCCACGTAGCTGTGTTCCCACAGGGGCTCCCGGCATAGGAAAATTAATCGACGGCCCGCTAATGCAAGAGGGCACTTGCACAGTTAGCACGCCATGTGGGACACCTCGACATATGACCACTCCAATCGGTTCTAATCGGCTTAGCCTCAAGGCAAAATAAAGACTGCCTATGTAACAAAGTAACAATACTGGAGGGGAAAAAAATCACATTGAAAACGTTAAATTATTGTAGCCTTGTGTGCCTTGCCATGCATATGTACTGTAATACATTTACAGCAACGAATCATCCCCTCAAAATCCCAAGGCTGAATGCTGGGAATTTGAAAACATGGAAAGCGAAGGCATGTGGGGACGCGAGGGCTGCTCTAGGGACGCCTTGCTGTCCCGTAGTACTGTTCTACGTTAAGCCACAATTGTCTGTAGCACTGCATGTGGATGGTGTCGTCACAAAAGACAAAGATCTTACGTATAGTTTTAACATACGTTTGGGGAAAGTGCTATTAGCGAGCACCTATGAAGGCCGGCACACGAGGGAGTGGTTGGCCAACACCACGCCCGGCTGCCTTTGCCTCCCTCGTAGCGATACTTACACACCGCACCAGGTACTCATTTGAGGCCGAGTCGACCTAGGGGAGGACCAGGACCAGGACCGGCTCAGATAATCGTCGCTCGTGTCGACCGCGAGTGGGAATTGAACCCGGGTTGCCGGGTTCGCAGCGCGCTAACCGCTACACCACCGCTCCGCAGTGTAACACTTGTGTGTTCGTGTGTGTGGTCACCACACACACACAAGCGTTACCATGGCTGCCATCATCACAACGAACATCATTTGCCTACAAAAAAATTACTTGAAACGCTTCAGATAGTCAGATCTCAGAAACTAAGCAGGTTTGCACCTGGTTAGTACTTTAATAGGTGACCTGCACATGGGCTTGCCAGGTATTGTAGTCATCACAGAGCTGTGAGGTGTGGCTTAGTGTCACCCCCACCAATTTCCTCCGGCACAAAAAAGCTAAACACACGATTTCATGGAATTGGCCAACGCATGATTTTCCTGAACAATCGTCTCAAGATTCAGCGATGCGTTCGTGGGGTGGCATTGTGAGCTCCCGCAAACTGCAGGTGGCCCGGCCACAAACTCTTTGCCCCTTTGGCAAATCAGCGGCTGTTAACAACTGTGGGTGAGTACGAGCCAGTGGAAACGCTCATAGTTCCACAATCTCCCCGAAATTAAAACACTCGCGCGAATCGGCTCCGACATAACAGCCTTCCTTCTGGACGGATTGTCAAAAAGTGGTTTGGTGAGCGCTGCTTAAGCTCGGCTTGGCACACGACGTCGTCCTTTGGCGTGGAAAAGCTCCAAGCCCCGGCAGCATTTCTATTTACACAAATCGATAGGCGAGGCCCGGCTCGCGCGAGATCACGGGGGGGGGCGGGGGCGGGAGTGTTCAGATCATCTGCGCCACCGGCGTAAGCCACGGATGGGATTCGAACCCAGGTGGGTCCCTCCCCTCCAGTTAACCGCTACACACAAGACAAAGATCCCCCCCCCGTGTAGCCTGTAACAGACTGTAGGGGCAAGTGCTGTTAGCGAGCACCTATGAAGGCCGGAACGGCACACGAGGGGGTGGGTGATCAACACCACGCCCCGGCCGCCTTTGTCTCCCCATTGGTGATGTTTACACAGCGCACTCGGTATTAATTTAAGGCCGAGTCGAAACTAGGGGAGGCACAGGACCGGTTCAGATAATCGTCACACCGGTGTTGGCCGTGAGCGGGAATCGAATTCGGGGAGCCGGGCTCGTATCGCTAACCACTACACAACCGCTCCCCACTACCGCTACACACACACAGATGTACACACACACACAGACGTACACACACACCAGACGTACACACACACCAGACGTACACACACACCAGACGTACACACACACCAGACGTACACAGACGTACACACACAGACGTACACACACACCAGACGTACACACACACCAGACGTACACACACACACAGACGTACACACACACAGACGTACACAGACGTACACACACACAGACGTACACACGCACACACAGACGTACACACACACAGACGTACACACACACAGACGTACACACACACAGACGTACACACACACAGACTTACACACACAAAGACGTACACACACACAGACGTACACACACATAGACGTACACACACACCAGACGTACACACACACACACACGTACACACACACGTACACACACAAAGACGTACACACACACCAGACGTACACACACACCAGACGTACACACACAACAGACGTACACACGCACACACACACAGACGTACACACACACAGACGTACATACACACACAGACGTACAGTCACACCAGACGTACACACACACACACCAGACGTACACACACACCAGACGTACACACACACCAGACGTACACACACACCAGACGTACACAGACGTACACACACAGACGTACACACACCAGACGTACACACACACCAGACGTACACACACACACAGACGTACACACACACAGACGTACACAGACGTACACACACACAGACGTACACACGCACACACAGACGTACACACACACAGACGTACACACACACAGACGTACACACACACAGACTTACACACACAAAGACGTACACACACACAGACGTACACACACATAGACGTACACACACACCAGACGTACACACACACACACACGTACACACACACGTACACACACAAAGACGTACACACACACCAGACGTACACACACAACAGACGTACACACGCACACACACACAGACGTACACACACACAGACGTACATACACACACAGACGTACACACACACCAGACGTACACACACAGACGTACACACACACAGACGTACAGACACACCAGACGTACACACACACACACCAGACGTACACACACACAGACGTACACACACACCAGACGTACACACACACACAGACTTACACAAACACACACACAGACGCACACACACACCAGACGTACACACACACAGACGTACACACACACAGACGCACACACACACAGACGTACACACACACAGACGTACACACACACAGCAGACGTACACACACACACAAGACTTACACAAACATACACAGACGCACACACACAGACGTACACACACACCAGACGTACACACACACACTTACACAAACACAGACGTACACACACACTGCCTGAGCTCCTTTTCACATGAAAGTGAAGGCTGTTGTCAGTGCTGCTGTTATTAGCATGCTGCTACAATGCTGCTGTTATCGCCACGCTGTTAACACGCCACCGTCATAACCACGCTACTGTAACTTGCATGTTGTAAACAGCGATACGATAGCACACGTACAGCCGGTATTCGCATAGCAGCAAGCAGCAGCAGCAGCAGGTCACAAGTACAGCGAAACCTCAACTCGGCATTACGTCCAAGGGAGTCGTTCACCGTCGTATTACGCCACTCGTCCGCACGGTTCACCACCAGAGGCGGCACAACTTTAGCAGAGATTGTTTACATTTTCCTCACGCGGGCAACGACGGCGAATCGTGACTTTTACGACCCGCTGAAATAACAATGCACTCCTGTCCAAGACGACTCGCGCACGAATTGCAACTCTGCCCACAAGCGAAGCGTGCGACGGGGGGGCCCGAAGTGCACGCGGCGCCGCTCTTACATTTCCTAGCCCGTATCCGCACCCCCCTCGCTCTGCCCCCCCTCGCTCTGCCCCCCCCCCCCCCCAAGCTTCCCCCCACGCTCTGCCCCCCCACTCTGCCCCCCACGCTCTGCCCTCCCCCTCACTCTGCCCCCCCACGCTGTCCCCCCCCAACGCTCCCCCCCCAACGCCCCCCCCCCTCACGATGGAGACGCGGGCAGCGGCGGCGGCGGCGTCTGCGCATCCAGGCTGCGAAATCAAAACGAGCGGAGCGGCTTTTGCAAAGTCGTGTGGTTGTGAACGGGGAGCAAAGCGCACCCACCCGCCTCCGTCACGTCGGAGAGATCGAAGCTGGCGGTGCTCCTGGGAAAGTCCTTGAGCTTCCTGCCGCTCAGGTTGAGCACCCCGGACAGGCAGGCGTCCTCCAGGGCGCGCTCCACGCTGCGGTGGAGCAACGCGGCCCCGCCGAGCGCAGGAGGCGCCGACGCAGCCGCCGTCGATGCCGCCGCGGCCGCCATGACTCGCGGCGCGCGGGGTTATCCGTGCGCATGCGCGAACCGCGGTTAGATTTGATAGAGCGTATAGGCGTGGAGGGCGACGGGGACAGATATGGTAGTATCGATACGCTACGGAACACCGCTGCGATTGTATTTGATGGCGCGTGTAGGCGTTAAGAGCGAAGGGGACAGACATGGTAGTATCGATACGCTACGGAACACCGCTGCGATTGTATTTGACGGCGCGTATAGGCGTGGAGAGCGACGGGGGGGGTGCTGATATGGTAGTATCGATACGCTACGGAGCGCAGATTACATTTGATAGCGCGTATATGCGTCGAGGGCAGAGGAGCTAGATATGTTAGCATCAATAAGCTATGGCGCGCTGCTGCGATTATAATTTGATAGCGCGTTTCGGCGTCGAGAGTCGGGTGGCGTTCTGGAGTTGGACGATGCCAAGATAAGAGAGATGGGGGGGGGGAACGCAGCGACAATTCGGTTCGCGGAGGAGGAGCGCCGAGCGAGTGGAGGAATATTCTAGATTTGAAGCTTTCGTGCCTGCAAGAATCCACACTCTTTGGTTCTATTCGGTAAAGTCACGTAGGTTAAAAAAATAAAACAACAAAAATTACGACGTTTCGGCCACAACACAAGCGTTATATTCTTAGTTTTTTCGGTAAAGTCACGTTGAAGAGAAACAACAAAATAACAAAATATATATAAAACAATGAGAATTTTTATTGTTTTATATATATTTTGTTATTTTGTTGTTTCTCTTCAACGTGACTTTACCGAAAAAACTAAGAATATGAATTACTGCAGTCACGAAAGCTTTAAATCAAAACACAAGCGTTGTCACGAGGACAACGCTGTCCTCGTGACAGGTACGGTCCCTTCACCTGATGAAGGCCACTTGTGTTGTGGCCGAAAACGTCGTGATTTTTGTTGTTTTATTTTTATTTTACCCTACGTGACTTTACCGATTAGAACCAAAGAGTATGGAGGAATATTTTGCTGGTTTTTTTTCCTGGATTTTTTGTTTGCGCAAAGTCACGTAGTCACTTTAAGATGTTTTTCTTGTTTGTGTTTTTTTGTTTGTTGCGGTTGCACCCGATTTCAAGAGCCGAATGGCTCACAGGGCTACACCAAAATAAATTAAACTGAAAACTGATGATGGGGCCGACCAGGAATATAACTCCGCCCGGATTATATTTGTTATCGTGGATAAGTCGTCGAGAGACGTGATTGTATTTGTTAGTACGGTACAGCGACGTAAATGATTATAAATATATCTCGCGAAAAGTAGACGAGAGACGTAAATGCTTGAACGCATTCTGATTTAAAAAAATAGTGTTATGTTACCCGAAAATTTATTATTTTTTTAAACACGGATTTATATTTTGCAAAATTGTTTCGTTGCACAGCACTTTGTGATTTTTTACTGTTTTTTTTTTAAACTAATTTTGGTGACCCAGGCCGCCGTGGGCCAAACTGCTGCAAGGCAGAAACTGGCCCACTACCAACACCAATCACTCTGGTTATTAGTCTTCACTCGCACTCGTTTGTGAAGTGTTAATCTGTCCCAGGACGCCACGGTGGCTTAGGAGATGTCAACTACCTCGCATGGTACACAGGAGGTCGTGGGTTCAATCCCGACCCTGTCGATGCCTGCTGTATATTTGGACTTTGCGTGTCTCTCTCATCACCATCACGGTGGCTTAGGAGATGTTAACTACCTCGCCTGGTATACAGGAGGTCGTGGGTTCAATCCCGACCCTGACGATGCCTGCTGTATATTTGGACTTTACGTGTCTCTCTCATCACCATCACGGTGGCTAGGAGATGTCAACTACCTCGCCTGGTATGCAGGATGTCGTGGGTTCAATCCCGGGCCTGACGATGCCTGCTGTACATTTGGACTTTGCGTGTCTCATCACCATCACGGTGGCTTAGGAGATGTCAACTACCTCGCCTGGTATACAGGAGGTCGTGGGTTCAATCCCGGGCCTGACGATGCCTGCTATATATTTGGAGTTTGTGTGTCTCGCTCTCCCCGTGTATTTTTCTCCAGGTCCTCTGGTTTTTCCATCCACATTTAGAATAAACGTCACACGTTTAGATTATTTGGCTGCTGTAAATATAAAAAAACCTCTCCAGTAGTAGTGTTGTGACTGTGGTCATCCAGAACAGACCGTACAACGTGTAACGGGCCCAATGCCCCGATCCACAAATACGAAGGAGACATCGCAGCGATACCACTTCGCTGCTACTGACGCGGTTATCTGGGCTTGAACCACCTGAATGTGACATTGTAGTTGTTGCACCTCCATCAGCAGCCCAACTTTGAGGGTTATGATATCGGAACGTTGGACCAAGGGCGCCATCTGACGGTCATGTTTGGAGTCGCAGATATAGAGTGGCCCAACACTGACATTAAAACATCGTAATTGTTTATTTCTTAAGTTAATATTCTATTGAGTATCATAATTAATATTGAGTTTGATTCTTGAGATGACATTTAAAAATGGAAATAGAATTCACATAAATGACAAAACAATTGACGAATGTTCCAAAATATTACTCCGCTAATCTTTAAAATAACAAAGTCCTAAATTCATTTCAAAAGAGAATACGTGCGTGCATTGATGTCAATGGAAGTTGGTTTTAACATTTGAAGCAATTGGCGGGACCCCGGGGTCCCATCACTGCCCCGGGGTCCCATCACTGCCCCCGGGTGGGAAAAACCGTGTAGCGACACGAGTCTCGCCTTACCGACAACAAAACTAGTGTCAATCGATTGGCCTCGTCGAGAGCTACTCGGGGCACGAAGTTTCGTAAAAGGTTGAAAAATTACATAAACACGTTAAATTCACTGCCTGGGGGGCGGCGGGCTGGCCTTGGCAAAGAAGCTGAGGATCGACGGCTGACCGGAGGGCGTTGTCGCCGCGCGCGACTGTGGCAGACGCCCCCCGGGGCTTGCGTTTGGCCGGTGGGGTGGCGCCCATCGTGTTGATCGCCGCCTGCTGCTGCTGGCGCTTGTTGGCGCGAGTCTGGGCGGGCGGCGCGTTGCTGTCGGGATCACGTAGTGGGCGGACTGAAAAATAATAATTATTGACCTGATTTTTGCGGGACCCCGGGGTCCCGCCAAATGATTCATTTGTTAAAATAAATGAAATAACGCTATGTGATTTGTTAAAATAAATGATACAAATTCAATGTCTCTTGACTTTTGGGCCACCCTGTATATTTTCAATCGTGGTTGCTGAGCCACATACAGGTCCAGTGGCCCAAAACGCCAAGCCGCCAGCAACAAACAGCACTCTTGACGAAGTGAGCAAGGTTGTACGAACTTTGGGTAGAGGGTGGACGATGGAAGAACATTTCTAAGTGGGGATAGTACGAATGGAATAATCAGAGCAGGTGTGGTGTGAGCAGGTGTGGTGAGCGGATGAGTGAGTAGGTCAGTGTGTGACCTGCAATCAGTGTGGTGGTTGAACACTGTGGATGAGACGAAACCGTAGACGTGAGTCCTCGACACTGGTAGAGCAATGAGTGAAGTTAACGGAAACGTGAACCAATGTCTAAACAATCACGCACCCACTCAGCTTTCTGCCCTGCAATTGTTCACGTTATTTAGCCTAACAGACCTCATGTCTCGCGAGTCCTTCGTCATGATGGGACACATTTCCAAACAATTACTCTGAATAGGGCTACATTTTGTCGTTTCAAATACTTGCAGGGTTTATTAAAACGAGTGGGTTTTTTTTATTATCAATAATTATATTTCTCGTATATCCGAACCAATGAAACACTCTTATGGGATAAATCCGTCACGACTGTCTCTTAATGTCATTTATCAATTCGCTTTGGTGGTTTCTTGTCCATTTAATTTTTCACAGGTTTACGGCCACGAATGAAGATGTGTAACTACTGGAGACTGCTAGTTTGATTTATTTTTAAATAATTAAGCCAAACCCCAGACCCGCACCCTACCTTCACTCCACCCATTGTTTGCATCCATTTGTGCAATCGGACGAGATTCTATCAAATAGCCAAACAGGTTATTCTTGCTGCCTTCCCCGACTTGCCAAATGCGTCACCGCTTCTTACACGAGCTGTAACCCATGAAGGCACACGTTTGCATATTTTTCAGAACCAGAATATACTGGAGGGATTCGATGAGCTCTGCTGTCAAGCTCTCTTTCTCAGATGTCCAGTAGAAAGCACTGAAGATGCAAGCTGGTGCGGGCATGAATTTCACGTTTTTTTCTTTAACATTAACAAACTGAATTTTGATTTAAAGCTTTCGTGACTGCAGGGATTCATATTCTTGGTTCTTTCGGTAAAGTCACGTCGAAGGGAAACAATAAAATAATAAAAATATAAAACAATAAAATACCCTTCTACGTGACTTTACCGAAAGAACCAAGAATATTAACAAACTGATTAACATGCTTTGCTATAGTTGATCTGTTACAAAATATGTTTGAGAAAGCTATGTACGTGAATTAATCCGCTTATGTCGGTTAATCTACAGATGGCATTCTCCACCGACAGCTGTGGCCAGGACTCAATGCTCCTCATTGGGTCGTTGAAAGAGCATTGAATAGGCAAGCTTTAAATCAGTCGTGTTTATTATATTACCATTTATGTGGGTGATACTATGAATAAAAATGTTACACTTCCAAAAAAGCATTGTGTATGCATTACAGCTTTAAATATGTCCGTGATTTTTTGTTGTTGTTATTGATAAATGCATGTAGGATGCAGTGAATACGTGAAAAAGCAAAACATGTATATATTTCCTTTTAAAAGGTGTAAATTATAGTCAACTATGATATATTATTGACAACAAAATTTCGAATACTACAGTTTTTTTACATAAGGTCTCTTACAGAGCAAACCAGCAGTGACGGCATATACAAGATGAGTAACATAATTGTGTTACAGATAGCAGGTTGAATGAGAATAATTATACAGAGGCAGTGTTATATTTCTTGGACCTGCCATGAGAATACAAGAGACTGCATATACATTGGTTGTGGCTGGCAACATTACAGGTACAAGAATCTTGGGAAGACAGAGAATTAGGTCACACGACAGGCTACAACTGTATGCAACTGAGACTACCCAATTCAAAGTTCTTGAGTGAATGTCAAGGGCAGAGTTCAAATGGAATAAGGCCATGTCTTAGAAAGAATATAGAGGCAGAACGCGTTTTAAGGAACAATGAGCTACACGTGGCTGATTCCATACAATCGCAGACATTTGTGATCCGGATGCTAAGATAAAAGCAACGCGGTAATCCGAGTCGTGTGAAATAACATAATCACAGTTTATGTAACGCCAACGTAGCCGTTCCAATATATCTTTAAATTAAAAAACACATTATTTGTTGGTCCCACTTCTTAATGGAAATCCTGCTATGTATGTGACATATATAAATGTTTAAATGCAGAAATAGTGATTACAGTTTTTTATCATCATATGAGTAATGACAACATACTTTTCGCGTGTGAAATACCACTACAGAACGCGAAGTAGAGTCAAACATTGATACGTAGAAAGGAGGAGGGGAGGGAAGTGAAGGGATGTTGGCACGGAAGTCCCCAAGACGGATAAAGAGGGCACGGCTCAAGATGAGCAGCAGCAAGGGGAGAAGGAACGACTGGGTCAAGATGAGAGGGTGACGGTGAGAGGTGAGGGAGAGAAGGAGCGAGCAGGAGTGAGCTGCACGGAGGAGCAGCGTGCTGTTTCGCAGTGGGTGGGGAGAGGGGAGGCATACAGAGTCGGGGGTGGCCACACAGAAGTCGCCTGATTAATGGTAAGCTTCAGCTGACTTCGATGCCGCGTGTATAGAATTCACGAAGAACGCACCCCCGCATTTCCGAACGCCGTGACCGAGCAAATCCAACGCAGTTCCGTCCGCCGAGATCGTGAGCGAAGGCGCTGGGGCCACACCAGCGTGCTCGCCACGTGTCGGCTGAATCCCGTCCGCACGGACACGTGGTCGCCCGCACGACCAAGGGGTCACCCGCGTGGCGTGAGGGGGCGGCGGTGGTGAGTGGCCTCTAGATGATCATCGTGGTCTGGGTGACGACTTTGACGGGCTTCTGTCGAAAATTGAGCTCGCGAGCAATCTGGCACCAGCCGCAGGGTGTGCAGCAGTACATGATGACGCAGTCGTCGCAGATGGAGCCCTGGCAGCACGCGCAGCAGAGGGAGAGGGGCATTCGGGCGCTGGGTCAAACAATTGTGGGAGCGTGCGCCAAGGCGGCGCTTAGCGGCACCCACTTTCTGGTGATATGTCAACTACCTCGCCTGGTATACAGGAGGTCGTGGGTTCAATCCAGACCCTGATGGGATGTCAACTACCTCGCCTGGTATACAGGAGGTCGTGGGTTCAATCCAGACCCTGATGGGATGTCAACTACCTCGCCTGGTATACAGGAGGTCGTGGGTTCAATACAGACCCTGATGGGTTGTCAACTACCTCGCCTGGTATACAGGAGGTCGTGGGTTCAATCCCGACCCTGATGGGATGTCAACTACCTCGCCTGGTATACAGGAGGTCGTGGGTTCGATCCCGACCCTGAGGGTATGTCAACTACCTCGCCTGGTATACAGGAGGTCGTGGGTTCGATCCCGACCCTGATGGGATGTGAACTACCTCCTCTGGTATACAGGAGGTCGTGGGTTCGATCCCGACCCTGACGCATGCTGTATATTTGGAGTTTGCGTGTCCCTTTCCCCACCACGTTTAGAAACACACGTTTAGAGTATTTGGTGGCTATAAATGTCCACGGGATAAGCCACTTCGTTGAGCTACCATTAGTGGTCAGGTCGCTTCTGAAAAAGAGCTACATAGCTCAATGGGCCTTACACCTGGTAAAATAAAATAAAAAAAATAGTTTATAGTTTTATAGTTTAGACGAAGCCCCCCAAGGGAGCCCCCTTCCTTATCCCCAAATCATCAGAGCTGTGGCTGACCCCCCCACCTCAACCTCCTCTTTTAAGTATACAAAAACAAACTAAAGATTTCATATATTTAGCGTCGTTCATGCAAATTGCATTTCGCAATCGCTGTCGAACCACGGACAAGCTGGAAGGCTGTGAGGCGGTGAGCCTGCGCCAACAATCGCTCTGCAGTTCTCTGCATATTAAGATGGTCTCAGCAAATTAGCGGAGTGCTCATTATGCACGTGGGAAGGAAACCGGAGCACCCGAAGAAAACCCGCACATTGTGCGAGGGGGCAACACTCTATCCCACACAGAAGGAACAGATTATATCAGTCCACACGTTTGCTGTGCTGCGTTCTGCTGGCGAGCCGGGGCATGGCAACCTCATCGATGCCCAAGGGAAGGGAGTTTCAAAACATTTGTCTTTTGTGCGTTGATCCACCAAGCCTCTAGCTGCCTCCATAGTGCCGGATTTGCTGACCATGTTGTCAGCCACCACCACCACCCGAGCAGAGAACCACGGGGGTATACTGACTCGAGACGAGTTGGCGCTGTACGAGTCCGATGTGGGCTTAGGCAGTCTGCAGAGTTGCTGCTCATTCCCTGATGGGTATTCTTGGTTCTTTCGGTAAAGTCACGTAGAAGGGAAATAATAAAATAATAAAAAGAAAACAGAATAAAATAAAATTCTCAGGACGTTTCAGCCACAACGCAAGCAGCCGTCCTCAGGTGAAGAACAGAGCTGTCGGAAAGACAGCGTCCTAATGAACACTGCTAAGCTTGGCAGCGTCTTTTAAGCTGGGTGGGAGGAGGAGAGCGCCTTGACAAAGGAGTTTACATTTCAACAGAGGAATTCAGCATATTGATGACAAATGCAGATATGGGATTAGTCACTGCTTATGGAATGTGTAGGCGGTGGGTCTCTCAAAGTCATATTATGCTAGTGTATTATGTAGGATTAGCAGTAATAAAGGGAGGGAAATTTTAATAATAAAGAACTGCATTTCGATTTAAAGCTATCGTGACTGCAATGATTCATGAAGGCCGCTTGTGTTGTGGCCGAAACGTCGTGAGAATATTATTGTGTTATTTTATTTTATCAATTTATTATTTTATTCTCATTCTACGTGACTTTACCGAAAGAACCAAAGAAGAAAAAGAACTGCATATCAAGCTAGTGCATTATGTGGAAAACAAAAAAGGAAGGAGTTTCTAAAGAACTGCAAAAATCCCTGCTGGGGTTTGTGCTGCGAACTGGGGGGTCTTCCGCACATCGCTTCTGGCACGTTCGCTTCGGTACGCGGACATCTCCAGTTCATCATAATCAGTATTTATAGTGGAAGAATCCGACGAGCTATGAAGCTCTTGGTGGAAATGTGGCCTTTCGGGGCATTGGCACAAAATATTGGCCAGTTGGCTGAAAAATAAAACCTCAAGACCACAGGCGGAGTTTGACGGAGGGGGAAGGGGGGTTGCTTTGTCCCTCATATTCGGAATCGCGGGTGCATATAATTAATGACATATTTTTTTCTTCATTGTAAACCACTGAAAATAAATTAATAAAGGTGTCCAGTCGCGGGTGCGTATAATTTATTTTTAATCTGTATTGTAAAATTCAGAAAAAGAAATTAATAAAGGTGCCCAGTCGCGGGTGCGTAAGATGAATGTATTTTTTTTTTAAAAAAAAATCTGTATTGTAAACTACTGAACATAAATTAATCGAAATGAATCCCGCTGGCTGGGAAGAGGGTCTCACGTGGATGCCGTATCGCTCGCGGATGCTGGAGCGCATGCTGATGCCGATGGCTGGGACGCATACGAAGCATAGCGAGTCCAATATGGGCAGGCAGCAGCACTCTCCGAACTTTGACGCCGTGCTGCAGGTGAAGCACGGGAAGCACCAAAAGGCGAAGCAGCCTACGGCGGGTGTGACGGGGCGGGGTCACAACGGGGTCACAACGGGGTCACAAGGGTCGTCGGGTTAACCGTTGGAGGGGTAGTGGGGTAATGGGGGAGTGTGGCAGCAGAGGAGTGGAGTAACGTGGTCGTGTAGTAACAGGGTAATGTGGTTGTGGGGTAACAGGGTATTGTGGTAACCAGGCAATGTGGTAGTGGGGTAACAGGTTAGTGTGGTAACAGGGTTGTATGGTAACCTGGAAATGTGGTAGTGTGGTAACCGGGTAGTGGGGTAACAGGGTAGTGTGGTAACCAGGTAATGTGGTAGTGGGGTAACAGGGTAGTGTGCTAATGGGGTAGAGTGGTAATGGGGTATTTTGAGGAGTGGGGTAACTGGGTAGTGGTGTAACGAGGTACAGTGTGGGAGTGTGGTGACAGTGTGGTGGCCTAACAGGATAGGGGGTAATGGAGGATAGGAGTGGAGCACCATCTTCTCTCTCTCTGTCCCTCCTCCCTGTGCCCCACCTCGTTGTCGATATTTTTCCCTCCTTGCAACCCTCCATTGGAACACGCGTAAACGTCCCCCTCGTGCATGTCGCGGTCCACTTCCGTAAACCTCCTTTCATTCCTCTCATAAAGTTCCACCTCGACCCCATTTGCCCATTCCTCTTCCCTCCCCTCGCCCCTCCACTCCTTCCCGTCCCTCCCCTGATGACCTTTCGTGACCTCTGCGCGCCCTCTGTCACGGCCACTCGTTCCTCAGCCCTCGCACGCCTCTGCCATCTCCATCGATCTATTTCTGTTTCCGCTTTTAAAATATGCGACGGAGAGCTTTTGGATTAAGGCACTTTATAAACGTAAAATAAGATAAAATAAGATAAGACGACAGCAATGGGTAGGGACTGCCATCTCTGAGATACAACAAAATACCGGACATATAATGGCAATAACAATAAGACAAATATCTCACAATATCAGAAGAGGAGGGTTAAATTACACTGCGTGTAAACACGTCGTCTTGAGTACCGCAGAGTATTATCACGCAATTCGAGTTTTCAAGTTTCATGTACTGTATTAGGTATTAAGGTATAGCCCTGTGAGCCGTGCGGCTCTTGAGTCAAAAAGCAGGACATTTAATTCTCCAGGAAAGACACAACTCCAAGAACAACAGCCGCCTCAAGCGAGACAGGTGGCAACTCCGGGGATAGGGCCGAGCACGCGGTCTTATCGAATGCCACGCGCGATTGAAAACAAATCTACGGTATTTATTTTATCAACACGCACGCATTGCAAAAATGTTCATCCCTCTTGCATTCCATTGCTGCAAGTTGGTCTCCCCAATGCTATGCTGGTTGTGGGGTATGCATCTGCCCATACTTGAACAGACTTGGTCTACACAAAATTGGACACGGAAGTGCATGACCGATGTTGTACTGGGGCGCCACGATGGCTAGGATGATGTTAACTGCCTCGCCTGGTATACAGGAGGTCGTGGGTTTCATCTCGACCCTGACGCCTGCTGGATATTTTGAGTTTGCACGTTCTCCCCATAGTCGTATGGATTTTTTCTCCAGTTTCCTCCACATTTAAAATCAACATCGCTTCTGAAGAATAGCTAAATAGCTCAGTTTGAGCCTTGAAAAAATAGCAAAAATAAAAAAAACTTAGGGCTGGAGGAAACAGGTTGGTGGCAACACAAAGAAACAAGAATTGTCTGCTTTAGGCAGCCAGGTGACTCGGAAATCAGAGGCACGAAATCAGCAGCAAGGCCGAGATCCTGGGTTTGAACTCAGGTTTTACCCGGCAACGATTAAATCGGCTTCTCAAGTGCAGTCAGTAGATGGTTTCGGCCAAATTACTGTAACACAAAAAGCCTACATATGAAATCACACTTTTCACTTAATTCGACACTATGCTTAATCTGAGGGTTAAACATGTCACTTTTTACTGCCATACAAAGAGCACTTTTACAGAAGGGCGTCTGAGAAATTCCTCATCCCGTCGATTGCGGAAGAGATCACTTGAAGGGATCTCAAAATTCGTTCCGTGGCATCTCCTTGCACGGGTCTTTCTCTAATACAACCTGATGCACTGTTCTAGAACACTCAGCACATTCATCAATAACACTGCCGCCTAAAAATGAAAACTATATAATAGGCGAAGTGTTGGGCAATAGCCCTTCTTCATTGCACATAAAATTGGCGGTGAAGAATGCCCATTGCTCAAAATGTCATCTTATACATATTTTGTTCCAACTTGAGTTTGTGTTGTTGTTATTATTTGTGCTTGTGCGCCACTACCAACACGACAGCAGCATCACTGCTGGACATCTGTGAAGAAAGAGCTTTATAGCTCACCGGATTCCTCCAATGAAAGTGTTCTGATAATTGTATTGAAAAGAGTCCTGAATGGGATACTTCTCTGCCTCGTGACATGACGCCCATCGCGCGAACGGGGACCGTCACGTTTCAGACATTTCGTGATGAATGTGCGACACAGGATAGTCCGTTTATTGGCAATAACAACAACAAAAAGATAATTCACGAGTTCACGACATAATTTTGGGCACGCTACAGAAGAACAGAAACACAGGTGGAGACAGCCGTTGTCAATCCGGTTGCGACCTGGTTCAAACTTTACATCAACGTCACAAACCAAATGTCCCAGCAGTGAATGGTTTCCAGATCCGGTTTGACCCGCACACTCGGTACTGGTGAATGCTCAGGAGCAACTTTGTAGACTCGAGATTCAATGCGGCATCATCTTTTCATCTGGCTCGGGTTGCCGTGATGAGACGAAAGTTGCTTTCAAACGTCTTCAGTTCCACGGCACATAGGTTTGAACTTCTTTGTGGCACACCGAAATAAATAATCGCTTGTGGGGCCCCTTCATCCAGAAATCTACGATAATGCTTATGATGTGCGTGTATGTGTTCGTTTCTCTGTTTCGAGTGATATGGACGCACCATATCACTTGGTGGCCTCTTGGCATTCTCTGGTCCGACGCTGGTGAGACGTGGCCCTAAAGAAGGCTATCTCTGGTGTAGACCAATCAGTTTCAAAGGCAATGCCATATGTATGTTCACCACAAGTATACTGTGTGTGGTTAATGCAGTAACTTGATTCCTTGCAAAATGTTTCTATTTGGTCTTTAAACATCTTAACACCTCCTGTTTTACTGCCAAGAAAGGGGTAACACCTATTTATTATTTTTTTCCTTCATACTATGGACGTACCTGGTGCCGTCATGGAAATGTGGAATGTTCACAATCGCGTCGTGTGTCGCTCTCCCCGCTCGATCGCCGCATGTTCCTCATGGCATCTTCGCGACTCAATTAGAACCGCTCAGGTGTAAGTCTTGGGTTCAATTACTCACCCGGGACACCCGGGCTCAGCAAATTAACTCAGAGGGGGTAAGGAAATTGTGTGTTTTGAGTGTCAGTGTGTGTGTGGATGGTCGTCCATTCGTACCTGTATTTCATGGTTTTTCTTTGGATTCTGTGTATGTCTACTGTGTTCATCAAAAAGTCTATGGGCCTCCCTAATTGTTGCATGTTGACGTCCGTGTGTCAAAGTGGCCATTGCGGAGGAGGCTCGTGAAGGACTCTTCTGGGCAGTTGGAGGCAGTGGCCCCCTCAACATCAGCGAAGGGCGTTTGAGCGACGCTCACAACAACGAGCTGAGCGCCGGGTGGCTAAAACGCAGGGAGTTGACACAGTAGGGGGCACAGGTGGTGCATCTGCCAGTCATCTGAAGTTAGTGAACCCACGGTGATTTCGAAAACGTTTGGTTTAGCCATGTTTGTTTGTTGAAGTACAGAGTTAACCTGATAACTTTGATCTAAATTGTTTTATGGTTCATCTTTGGTTCTTTCGGTAAAGTCACGTAGAATGAGCATAAAATAATAAAATAAAACAATAAAATTCTCACGACGTTTCGGCCACAACACAAGTGGCCTTCTTCAGGTGAAAGGGACAGACCTGTTGGGACGACATTGAAGCTCTGTCGTCCCAACAGGTCTGTCGTCCCAACAGGTCTGTCCCTTTCACCTGAAGAAGGCCACTTGTGTTGTGGCCGAAACGTCGTGAGAATTGTACTGTTTTATTTTATTGCTTTATTTTATTATTTTATTCTCATTCTACGTGACTTTACCGAAAGAACCAAAGGAGATTAATCCTTGCAGTCACGAAAGCTTTAAATTGTCTTATGGTTGTTATTGTTAGACTTGCATCCCACTAGGATTTTTGCACACAGCGTTGATATACGGTGATTTTTTTTCTGGAAGATATTGCTGTTTCATTCCTCAATTTTTCTGTTGCGCGTAGTCACTTTAAGATGTTTATTTGTTCGTGTTTTTGTTTGTTGCGGTTGCACCCGAGTCAAGAGCCGCGTGGCTCACAGGGCTACACCCAATAAATGAAACTCAAACCTGGGTCTGTCCCTTGGAGTCCTGCCAACAGCGAGCCATCGACAGTTCACGTGGCCTCAATGTGCACCTAGCCTGGCACAAAAGCTGCGGAGACGTGACCGCCACTTCGTGTCGAATGGCGGCTGTTTGTTGGTGTCATTGCGCGCGTGTTGATCGATCCGAAAAATACCGCGACAAATCCGCGGAGACTTCGCCTAGGCGCGCCGGTTTGCAAACAATTGCCACGCGAAATCATTGTTGACTTTCGCGATAGGCTGATTATATCCAAATTACGGCGGGGGCGATGTAATTTCCCTATAAAAAAAACACGCGTGACTGTTCTTCAACAAGCCGTGATTGCATCGTGCAATGTGATCTGTAACATCGCCTCGGCAAGCAAGATATGCGGTTCGCGCGCTGTGCGACTACAGTTCACGCGATGCACGCCTTGCACTGGATTATTCTCATCATTGTGACTTTTTCAATCTTCAACAATAACGAACAATACACATTTAATGGGCAGTGCAGGCGATCTCCGTACGGCGGTTCGATTTACGAGATTCATATGTATACTTGTCTCGATTTACGACGTTCGGGGTTCCGGCTTGGTTCAACTTTCGACATTCAGTTGTCAACTTGGTTCGATTAACGACACTCGTGTGTCAACGTGTCCAAATTTACGACAGCCGTATGGCAACTTGGTCCTATTTACGACATTCAGATATCAACTTTGATTCGATTTACGACGCATCTTCCGCCATCACTCCAAAAACGCTTGAACGGAGCAAGCCCCGCTTTCCGATGTAACTTTGCGCGGAGCGTTCCGCATTCTCAAGCGTTTTTGTGGATCTTGTTCGTGTGTGTGTGTGTGTACCTGTTAATAAGCACAGTTACATAAACACATCGGCCAAGTGATGTGGTTTTTTTTACTGCTTCTACCGCCTATGAGACAATAAGAGGCCGATTTACGCCGACCCGATTCATGACGGGGTTCCCAGGAACGCATTGTGTCGTAAAAGCGGGGACCGCCTGTATTTTTAAATAGTAAATCACACCGCAGTACACTACATAGCTATTATATATGTACAAGTTTTTTTGCTGACGAATAGCGCGGTTGGATACGTACGGTGCGAAAGAAGTTAGACGTACTTCGTGCGCGCTGGTGACGTCACAGCGTTCCGGATTTGTGTGTTATGACGTCACGCCCCACCCCCCCCCCCCCACCACCCCCCCACCACCCCCCCCACCACCCCCCCCACCACCCCCCACTCACCCCGGCCGTGTACCCCACGCAGATACGTGGGGAGTGCGAGCACAGCACCAACTAAGTTCATCTTCGAGCTCTCAAGTTTGGTGGGGGGGGGGGGGGGGGGGTGCCGGAGGCTTTGCTCCCACCATGAACCTCCACCCACCACCATCCCTCACCCCTCTTGGATCCATCATTGGTGCAAAGTCAGGGGAGGGGAAAAGTGGAGGGTGGTGGGTGGAGATTGGTGGGTGGAGGGTGGTGGTTGGTGGGAGGAGGGTTGTGGGTGGAGGGTGGTGGTTTGTGGGTGGAGGGTGGTGTGTGGAGGGTTGTGGGTGGTGGGTGGAGGGTTGTGGGTGGAGAGTGGTGGGTGGAAGGTGGTGGGTGCAGGGTGGAGGGTGGTGGGTGGAGGGTGGTGGGTGGAGGGTGGAGGGTGGTGGGTGGAGGGTGGTGGGTGGAGGGTGTTGGGTGCAGGGTGGTGGGTGGAGGGTGGTGGGTGGTGGGTGAAGGGTGGTGAGTGGTGGGTGGAGGGTTGTGGATGGAGGGTGGTGGGTGGAGGGTGGTGGGTGGAGGGTGGTGGGTGGAGGGTGGTGGGTAGATGGTGGTGGGTGGAGGGTGGTGAGTGGAGGATGGTGGGTGCAGGGTGGTGGGTGGAGGGTGGTGGGTGGAGGGTGGTGGGTGGAGGGTGGTGGGTGGAGGGTGGTGGGTAGATGGTGGTGGGTGGTGGGTGGAGGGTGGTGGGTGGAGGATGATGGGTGCAGGGTGGTGGGTGGAGGGTGGTGGGGAGATGGTGGTGGGTGGAGGGTGGTGGGTGGAGGGTGGTGGGTGGAGGGTGGTGGGTGGAGGGTGGTGGGTAGATGGTGGTGGGTGGAGGGTGGTGGGTGGAGGGTGGTGGGTGGAGGGTGATGGGTAGATGGTGGTGGGTGGAGTGTGGTGGGTGGAGGGTGGTGGGTGGAGGGTGGTTGGTGGAGGGTGGTGGGTGGAGGGTGGTGGGTAGATGGTGGTGGGTGGAGGGTGGTGGGTGGAGGGTGGTGGGTGGAGGGTGGTGGGTGGAGGTTCACTCACAGGACCCGCAGTCGGTGCAGCAGTCACATACTCTCGAGTTCCACGTGTTGGTAGTGAGCGTGGTGCTCATCGTCGTGTGCTGCATGGTCGACTGGCCCATACCCATCGGCTGGGCCGTCACGGGCATCGGCTGGCCCGTCACCACAGGATGCTTGTAGTGGGGCTGATACATCGTGAGGACGACTGATCACCGTCGCCTGCGGGTGCACACCGGGCGATCGCGATAGGGTCCCATCGTAAATAAACTAAGAGGGCCCCCATCGTAGATATATCACCAGGGTCCCCTCATAAACCAACAGGGTTTCCCCAGTAATAACCCCACAGGGTCCCTTCATTAATAAATAATCTGGGTGCCCCAACAGGGTCTCATGGACCAATAGGGGCCCCTCATAAATAACCACAGTCCCTCATGAAGCAACAGGGTCCCGTCGTAACCCATAGGGTACCCTTATAGTTAAACGACCAAGGACTTATCATGACCTTAACAGGGTATTTGTGTAACACGAACAAGTGAACATTCCGGGTTCAGCAATACAGGGTACAACCCCCCCCCCCCCCCTCATAGATTATTATTAAAGATATACATCCAATCTTGATTTTATTTATTTTATACCTACGTGACTTTACCGAAAGAACCAACGAGTATGAAATACATCCAGTTTTATTTAAAAAAACTATTCCAGGCGTCTCTGCGATGAAGCACAAAGCCAACAGCGCCGTGGCCATCGGTGTCACAGAGATGTTGCCCCCCCCCCCCCAAGTGCGACTGTGATCATGGGCCCCCCACACGCAGGTGGTTATTCTCAACCCTTTTGATAACTTCTGCCGTCACCCCCTCCTCCTCCTCGTTGAATTTTGTTTCAACCGAGTAGTAACCCCCCCCCCCCACGCTCGGCAGGCGTGAGGCAATTTATTATTATTATCGCTCGCTGGTTACTCTCGAAAAGCAACATCGTTAAAGATCAATGAGTTTAGGTTACCGTATGGATTTCAGTTTCATCATGGTTATCTTACATTGGCAAGACTCACACGTGATTGTTCATCAACGTCTCTCATGTACGATACAATTTCACACACCTCACGAACCCTCTTGGACATTGCCACCTACCCCCCCACCCTCCCAGGGATTTCGAAGAACCCCTCGGTTGAGAACCACTGCCCCAGACCACGGATCGTGTCTCGTCAACATGCACTGAAATCTGTTACGGGAGGCCACTTCAATTTCTTTCACTCAGCACTTGAGCAAGCTGCGACTTGCAGTGTCCTTCATGTAACTTTCAGAGAGAGAGAGAGGAGCCACTTTCGCCGATAAGACATCATCAATGTTCTCACAGCGGGCGCGTGGATTTTTCTCTGGGTCCTCAGGGGGTTTCCCCACTCCACATTTCGAATCAACATCGCGAGCTCAGAGGATTAGGCTGCTATTAATTTCCACGTGATGAGCCACTTTGGGTGAGCTATCATTCGTGGCCAGCTCGCTTCTGAAAAAAGTACTACGTAGTTCTGTGGGCCTTACCTGGTAAAATAAAAAAAATAGTTTAGTTTTAGAGTTTAGACAAATCATCAGAGCTGCGGCTAACCCCCCCCCCCCATCACCTCAACCTCCTTTAAATAAAACTAAATAATATAATGATTTGTTTAATATATTAGCGTCGTTCATACAAATCATATAAACATGCCGACCGATAACGTGGAAGCAGTCAGGCTTTCTACAATCGCTAAATGCCAGATACCGCATTGTAAGCTAACATCAATTTTATTGCACGCAACCACACACTCGCTCACTCACTCACCGTAGAGCGAGGAAAGGGTGGATGCCTCGAGGCGAAGATGCGAGCGGTCTGCGAGTGAATCGAGTCGTGGCGAGTTACCCTGCTCACCTTGTTGGCATTGTTCGCTCTCATTTACGTTATCACCCCCACCCCCAATTCCAATCTCACCTGCCCAAGTGCGGATGCAATGCTTGCTGACAAAACCTGACCCACCGCGCATGTTAAACAAAAAAAAAAACACGAACTCGAGGCATTCGTCAACAAAAAAAATACCGCGCATATTACACCAAAAAAATAGCACACACTCACTTAAACCAATCGTCAAAAAAAACCACTGCGGCCCCCAAAAAACATATGGACATCATGTGCTATGAACGACGTTGCTGCTAATGGACCCTTCTTTTATGTGTTTTGAAGAAGGGCTGTTGTCTGAAACGTTGGACCCTTTATTCCTCTGCTGAACAAGCACGTTTAGTGATGTACTCAGTATGCTTCTTTCACATTCAGCGGGGCTTTTTTGAACGTGCTATTTCTATGATTTTATTGTATGAACGCGAGGAAAAAAAAAACCCGATTGTGAAAGAGCCTCTAATTCTCACGCATACCACCCCGGGTCGCATCATTTACATGGAGTGCTCTTGCCAAGAACATCCAGCAGCATTTGTCGAACAAGTCTGATTATCGAGACCTGGAAAGTCGTAATGCTCCAAAGTTTGTTTGCCATAAACAAAGAATATAATTATAATTTTAACATGTAGGCTTTTGCGACCAATATCAACCAGAATATAGTTTTTATGTAAATTAGATTGTAAATGTTGTGGCTTTGCTCTCCAGCACACCGGTGTGCTGTACTAGTGACGAATTGGCACGTTCTGTTTACGTGACAAGCGTTACTTATTGGCTGTGTCGGGTGGTGGCGGGTTTAACGACACATTTATATGTACGTGATCTATCCCCCCCCGCCCCCCGAAAAAACCCCTGTATTATGAATAATTATCATGCTTTTTAATATTGGTCTGGAAAGCCAATAGGCCGATGTACTAAACAAATACCTCGTGCGTAAACGTGGAAATGGAACAGAGTTGATCTTATATTTTATTCATCGCCCACGTTGCTCAGGAGAGCTGCCGTCATGTTAAAGTTCAGTGCACCAACTCCAGAAGTCGCCAGCTCGATCCCACCGTCCACGTGGGCACGTGTCATATAGCTCCCGATGACCTGTGCCCCATCCAGCAGTAGAGCGGGTCCGCCCCAGAACCACCACGCGTGTGTGCAGGGGTAAAGGGCTTTGCTTATTTGCTCCCCTTTGCCTGTAGAGTATCGCTGTAACAGAGCAGCGATACAATCGTACACGCGACGAAAATCACCGATCAGAGATTTTCCCTCCCGCCGCCAGCCCACACACGCGAAAGGGCGACTTGGACTCACTTGTCTTGAGATGGTTTATTTATTTAAGGAGCCACGTGGTCACACATTCGGACAGGCGCAGACCCACACCGCAACAGCCCCGAGTCTCTCCCGCATCTCCCTTGTACAATACGGTCTGAGCGTCGCTCTTGGTCGACGCGTCTCACGCCGATGGTGCATTTGAGGTGGAGGCGGGGGGGGGGGAGAAGTCTCTTCACATGATGAAGGCCGCTTGTGTTGTGGCCGAAACGTCGTGAGAATTTTATTGTGTTATTTTATTTTATCAATTTATTATTTTATTCTCATTCTACGTGACTTTACCGAAAGAACCAAAGAAAATGAATCCTTGCAGTCACGAAAGCTTTAAATCGAAATGTAAGTCTAGGGGAGTGAAGAGGCATTAATCCAGCAGTGGAGAGACCCTGGCTTGATGATGCCGATGGTGCATTAGAGGTGGGGTGGAGAGAAGGCTAGGGGAGTGAGGCATTAATCCAGCAACAGATGCATATAAGTATTTTTTTATATGTTGTCGATAGCGAATGAGTAAAACATTTAAACCCTCGAATTATTTAGCATATACAGTACTCACATAATGAAGTTTAAGATAAACACGGATATCAGAATCCCCCAAACAACGGGCATAACAATATATTACACAAATACACAATATAATAAGCAAACATCAACAATGTGGGGTTAAATTTTGATTTAAAGCTTTCGTGACTGCAGTAATTCATATTCTTAGTTTTTTCGGTAAAGTCACGTTGAAGAGAAACAACAAAATAACAAAATATATATAAAACAATAAAAAATTCTCACGACGTTTCGACCATAACTCAAACGGTCATCTTCAGGTGTGTCGGTTTGCATAAATTTATTTTTAAACGGCGCATTTATTTATATATTAAAAAAGACGTTAGCATCACGCGCAGCGATTTGGCAGTTTACCCAGGACTAGTCCATCTATATTTTGAAAAGAGGAGGGGGGAGACGAAATTTTAAAATGTATGCTGTCTGAAAGCCAATGTAAGCGTGAACAATCAATTAAGAACTGAAATGGTTGTTCACGCTTACATTGGCTTTCAGACAGCATACATTTTAAAATTTCGTCTCCCCCCTCCTCTTTTCAAAATATAGATGGACTAGTCCTGGGTAAACTGCCAAATCGCTGCGCGTGATGCTAACGTCTTTTTTTTAAATATATAAATAAATGCGCCGTTTAAAAATAAATTTATGCAAACCGACACACCTGAAGATGACCGTTTGAGTTATGGTCGAAACGTCGTGAGAATTTTTTATTGTTTTATATATATTTTGTTATTTTGTTGTTTCTCTTCAACGTGACTTTACCGAAAAAACTAAGAATATGAATGTGGGGTTAATCGTAATTTGCGGGTTAATCGAGTATTGATTCATCGCCAATTGATCCATGGATCAAGTAATAATGCGACCCGCCACCCCCCCCCCCCCCCCCTTCATTTGATTGGCTAATATCGGCGAGATCGGCGATTCCGTCGCGGTCCGATTTTATTGTTTCTGCAGCGCCCCGCTTCTGGCACCGTCAGTAGGGGGCGCTGTAGCGGTGCCCCCCACGGCACCGCCAGTAGGGGGCGCTGTACCGGTGCCCCCCACGGCACCGCCAGTAGAGGGCGCTGTACCGGTGCCCCCCACAGCACCGCCAGTAGGGGGCGCTGTAGCGGTGCCCCCCACGGCACCGCCAGTAGAGGACGCTGTAGCGGTGCCCCTCACGGCACCGCCAGTAGGGGGCGCTGTACCGGTGCCCCCCACGGCACCGCCAGTAGAGGGCGCTGTACCGGTGCCCCCCACGGCAACGCCAGTAGAGGGCGCTGTACCGGTGCCCCCCACGGCACCGCCAGTAGGGGGCGCTGTACCGGTGCCCCCCACGGCACCGCCAGTAGAGGGCGCTGTACCGGTGCCCCCCACGGCACAATCAGTAGGGGGCGCTGTACCGGTGCCCCCCACGGCACAACCAGTAGGGGGCGCTGTGAACGCGATCCTTGCTCTCTCAGCCTCCCCCGGACAGGCGGAGGAGGAGCGGCTCAGCACCAATCGTTCCGAACAAGTCGTTGACCAGATTATTTGATGCCAGTGTCGAGGTTGAGTTTGTTAAACAGGACTTCCATGTTAAACTGGACTCCCATGGAAAACTGGACTTCTATGGTGAACAGAACTTCCATCGTAAACTGGTCTTCCATGGTAAACTGGATTCCCATGGAAAACTGGACTTCTATGGTGAACTGAACTTCCATCGTAAACTGGACTTCCATGGTAAACTGGACTCCCATAGGTCAGACCGAGACGTACCCACAACGTACCATTAACATCACTAAATATACTCAACACGAGCTTACAGCAGTAAACTTCAACACAAATTATACAGGGTACAATAAGATACAGCAGACATAAAAAATCAACAAAATACTAAACTTAAATAATATATTGCACTCTACAGGACAGTACATTTATTTTTGCGCAAAGTAGTTCGTTGTCCAGGTATAAACGACGGTGATTTTCCCATATCAGGAACCGTGGGTTTGGTCTACAAATGGCCCAGCAGATGGCAGGACATCAACGTCTCGAGTGACTTTTAACTATACACAGTATTCGAAGCTTTCGTGACTGCAGAAATTACTCTTTGGTTCTTTCGGTAAAGTCACGTTGAGAAAGAAAATAAATTAAATAATAGAATACGACGTTTCGATTGCAACAAGGTACGAATGAATGAGAACACAAAAAGAGCAAACTTAGAAATATAATGCAATACAACACAGTGAGTCGGCTAAAGACAACAGTCAACATCCTATCTGGTTGATTAACGTTCTTCCAAAGAATGCTAAATTTGAGAGAGAGACAAAACACATTCACGGAGATACATAGACAGACACACAAGCAGAGAGAGACAACACAGATACACACAGAGAGATACACATAGACACACAGACACACAAGCAGAGAGAGACAACACAGATACACACAGAGAGAGACACATAGACACACAGACACACAAGCAGAGAGAGACAACACAGAGACATACAGAGAGAGAGACACACAACATAGACACACAGACAGACACACAAGCAGAGAGAGACAACACAGAGACAGAGAGAGACACACAACATAGACACACAAGCAGAGAGAGACAACAGAGAGACACACAAAGAGACACACACATAGACACACAGACAGACACATAAGTAGAGAGAGACAACACAGAGACACACAGAGAGAGACACATACATAGACACTCAGACACACAATCAGAGAGAGACAACACAGAGACACACAGAGAGAGACACACAACATAGACACAGACAGATACACAATCAGAGAGAGAGACAACACAGAGACACACAGAGAGAGACACACACATAGACATACAGACAGACACACAAGCAAAGAGAGACAACACAGAGACACAGAGAGAGACACACACACAACATAGACACACAGACAGACACACAAGTGGAGAGAGACAACACACAGAGACACACAACACAGACACACAGACAGACACAATCAGAGAGAGAGACAACACAGAGACACAGAGAGAGACACACGTAGACACACAGAGAGACACAAGTAGAGAGAGAACACATAGAGACACACAGAGAGACACACAACATAGACACACAGACAGACACACAAGTAGAGAGACAACACAGACACACACAGAGACACACACATAGACACACAGACAGACACACAAGCAGAGAGAGACAACACAGACACACAGAGAGAGACACACAACATAGACACACAAGCAGAGAGAGACAACACAGAGACACAGAGAGAGAGAGACACACACGTAGACACACAGACAGACACACAATCAGAGAGAGACAACACAGATACACACAGAGAGAGATACACACATAGACACACAGACAGACACACAATCAGAGAGAGACAACACAGAGACACAGAGAGAGACACACACATAGACACCTCTGTGCCGTATTCTATTATCATTTATATATTTTTATTTCTACGTGACTTTACCGAAAGAACCAAAGAGTAAACTATATATAGTTTTTTTTATTTTACCAGGTAAGGCCCACTGAGCTATGTAGCTCTTTTTCAGAAACGACCTGGCCACAAATGACAGCTCAACAAAGTGGCTTATCGCGTGGAAATTTATAGCAGCCAAATTCTCGAAACGCAAGTTGTTTATAACTGTGGAGAGAAAAACCAGAGGACCCGGAGAAAAAATCCACGCGTACACGGTGGGAATGAGAGAGACACGCAAACTCCAAACATACACAAGCGTCAGGGTCGGGATCGAATCCACGACCTCCTGTATACCAGGGCGAGCGAGACAACACAGCGATGTGGAAAAACTGTGGGGGCACAGGAGGCGGTGTCCGCCAGACGTCTCAGTTCATCCACAATGCCTGGTTCTACGGCGGCACCACCAACTATTCACGTGTCCTCAACGTGCAC